CACTGTCTTGAAAGGACAAGTGAAAATGGACTCCAAGTCTGCTATTATGATGTCGCTGGATTTTCTACTCAACCAAATGACCTCCATTAATTTAAGTGTAAGTAATTATACAGTTTGTGCAAATTTTGTTTAAGTATTCTTAACTGCCAAAGGAAAAAATAAGTGCTCGACTGACTAGAACTTGGAATTTGGTAATTTGAATCGAGTACAAAAGTGTGCAAATTAAAATTTGACTGTGGATCCATAGAACAATAAATTAGTGATAGTTTGTCTTTCTTTAGACACTTCTAGACAAAGTAAGGAAGATGTACTAAGAGAGTAACAATATTAAATGGATCTATCAGTTTTTTCAACCATTCTTTACTCTTCAGCAAGGAGATAAAGTACTTGAATACTATTATTCTAAGATAATGGGGTGTTGAGAACTCAATATGTACCAGCCTATTACCTATGATATTATTGTGATGAACCAACAAATGAGTGATTTTTTTATGTTGCAAAATTTTTATTGGGATTAAGCCTAAGTATAAGCTAGTTAGATCACAAATTTTTAGTAGTCAAGAGTTGTCTTCTATAAAGGATGTTTTCTTCATCTGAGAAGGGTGATGTTTATTGGAGTCACATGCTTTTTCCATGCCTAATCATCTGCCTTAATAGTTTCTGGGAGTAATGGCCAAGGCAACTTTGGTCAAGGTTCAAAATTTCGATATGTATTGGACTTATCGGCCAATACATATCGTATTGGGTTCTTCCCGATATGCCCCTACAGGGGGTGTTTTGGGTCAGACCATGGTTCAGAGGGTAGATGGGCCTTAAACTGACCCCTCTGAACCAGATTGAACAAAAAAACTAAAAAAAAGGGACAAATGAACCTTGATACAGGCCGATTGATATTTTGAACCTTGACTGTGGTGCTTTTTGTGGTCGTGGAAGGACCACGAATTACAGGTTTTACACTCTTTGCAGCCCAAAGGACCATAATAGTGAGAATTGTAAGGCTCTTCATAGGACCTATGTATGCTATTATCCTGGACATGAGGGACATATTGAGTTGTAAAGTAAGACCACTACTTATGCTTATTAGGAGTCTCTCCATTATGAGCTCCATGGGTTGTCAAATATAGTGTATAGAGTGTCTAATCACATGACTTCCAAGTTACTTATTCAATTACATCCAGTATCTAATTCTTCTCAGTATGCCATTCTTGCTAATTAAACCTCCTCCTCTGTTTCTATCATTGGCACTATGGGCCCATTTGGGAGGGATAGCTGAAGACTCAGCCAAGCTGGTTCAGCTGCTTTCAAGTGCTCCAAATAAGCTATTGAAAGAGGCTGAAGTGGACAGCCCTTAAAATGACTTACAGACAGTGGATTTGGGCTCTCTAGATTTTTCACAAAACATAGATTATAGGCTCTGTGTGGGGCCCACCTTGGAAATGAAGCCACTGTGCTTCAGCACTAGAAAACAGGCAGTATTTATTCCATCTTAGTTTTCTTTATCTCCTATCCTTTATATCCCTCACTTTCCTTTTCATCTTATATCCATGAGCAAATTGACTAAATCCCTTAATTATTTGTCTTACACTGTTCCATTCATTTTTTGTTTCAGAACTTAAAGCAGATAAGTAGATTGATGGAGAAAAGACTATATTATATTATATTATATTATATTGATGGTGATTTGGAGAGTACAATCCTACGGTCATCTTCTTAAATATCACTCTTAGCTGCAGCATTTCCACCTTGGGCATCCTTTGTTGTAAAGCATACAAAAAATGCTTCCTTCAGTAAACATTGAAGAGTTTCATTTCCATCCAGAGTTGTAAATCATGTGTCATGTCCTTTTTACTAAGTTCATTCAGAGACCATGCTCTATTTTATCTTATTCAGGTTTTTTATTTTGTCACTTTTTAGATGATCATTGTAAGACAAAGTAGTTATATTTAATAAAAGATAGACCCAAATTGTTTTCATTTTTCAAATATTTTTTTTGTGGAAATAAAGACTCGACTTAACTATACTATGTGTCTTCTTTAGTCCGATAATAAAAAGAATATTTATCATCCCCCTTATAACTTCTTTATAAGCATGATATATAACATTAAACTTCATGTCTATATTACTCGAGCAAGAATTGACACCTCTTAAAAGTCATTAGGGATTTCCTCCTCCAGATGTGTGTTCACAAAGATATTGTCCTCATTTTATGTTACCTATAAATCATGTGCCTTTCTTAGTTTTAGAAGAGAAAACACCTTGTTTATTTCTTTTCCTTGACAACCCCTTGTTCTCTCCAATGTTTTAAAAGGCGTGGGAAGCATATGCCTGGAGGCGTGCCTCCAGGCGAGGTGCCCCCAAAACGCCCTAAGGCATATGCCAGAGACGCCGACACCTCTGAGGTGTACGTATGCTTTTATCATGAAGCATGCTAAAGGCATACGCCTCATGCACACCTCACGTAAAAAGACAGAAAAAAGGAAAAAGAAAGAAAAAATTAAAAAAAAATGGAAAGGAAAAGAAAAGAAAAGAAAGGTAGGGGGAAGAAAAAGAAAGAAAAATGAATCTTTCAGTGTGTCTATTCTGCTTGTCTTTTTATTCCATTCTTGATCTTTGGGGTTCACAGGAATTCTTTGTATAGTGATTGCTCACCAATGTAATCTCTTCAGAGAGTCCTTGTTTGTGCTTGTACATCTTCTCATTTTAACATGTTTGTTATCTTATTTAATGAAATTTAATACTTTCTCCAAAAAACGTATTTTCTTGTTTATTCCAAACTAAAAAAAAGGTTATAAATGTTATAATCTTCTAACATGCCACCATTTCCTTATCGTCGATGTCAACTTCTTTGAGCCTATTTCATATTTCTCAAGTTCCACTCTTACTAGTCAGTCTAATATACCATCACCTATTCTAGAATTTAATGAGGTACCATCGTATTCAGGATTACCTCCTAAGTCACCTATTACATGTATTTATACACAACAATCATCTGCTCAAGTTCAATGGTCATCTATTCCTATGTTTGAGCCTACTCCATGTTTTTCAAGTTCCACTCTTACTACTGAGTATAACATACCTTTACCCATTCTAGTACTTGACAAGGCGCTATCATATTCAGGGTTACCTCCTAAGCCACCTATTACATATACACAGCGATCATCTATTCCTACATTTGATGGTCCTGATACATAGATGCTTCCTTCCTTTGATATTGGTCTCCACATCACACTTTGGAAGAGTAAGAGATCATGTACTAATCATCCACTTATCCACTTTGTTTCTGTTATGATTCGGCCTGC